CTAACTGCCAGTTCTGTTAAGTCAGCTAACTTTGTGACACAAGTTGCAGTGTCACAAATGTTGCTACAATTGCTATTGCTATTTTGTTGCTGTTGGAACAAAATCGTGTACCTCCAAAATTGCAATTTTACAGGAAAAGTGAAAAAAAACTTTTAACCTTGAATGGAAGTTTTTTTTGACCATGTCTACTGGTCTAGTTGCCATGAAATTCTAAAACATTATAAAAGGCAGCAGGCATTTTTGAATTCTGTACAAAAACAAGAAATGACAAAAAATTAAATACAAGGCTTTGTCCCGACACCCCTGGTCAGATTACATTTTGTGGATCTTCTAACCGAAAATAAGTTAACACATCTTCTACAGGGAACTTCAGTGTGACAGTTTTTTGAGTTTAGCATATTGGAAAAAATAAGACATAAAATGTGCTGTAACTTTTGACACAAGCCACATTTTATGTTTTAAATTAATTTCCAAAATGTTCAGCAAAAAAAATAAAAATCAACAAAACACATCATTTGACCAGGGGTGCCCAAACTTTTGCATATGGCTGTGTGTTAACTTACTGCAAAACAGAAAAGAAAACAAGTTTATTGTAAAAAAACATTTGTAATAAAAACATTTTAAGTTAAGTGTCCCCAAACTTTAGGTGGGCACTATATCACATAAAAATGGTATCTTGCTGTAGCAGCAAGAAAATGGGGATGTGCTTGTGTGTGATTAACTTAGTTTGTACTGAAGAATGCTTGTATAAATCATATTCTTATGTGTTTGAGGAGACACTACAGGAACAATACATTGGTGTGTTCTCATTTACAGCCATGCCTCAAGGGTGGGTGTGAGACTTATGACTGCAGGAATGTTGGCACGTACTCACATCTCCTGTTAATGCTAGGCTTTGCAAGCATCTGGGAAAGAGGGCTTATGGAATGTCAGATGCTTGTTAACCCCTTAAACTACAAGGGGTGGGCATATTCTTCAATTCCTGCCAAAACCTATAAACTTTACATATTAGTTTCATGCTAGTTACTGAGTAATTCATAATAGTTACTGCATAATAAGTCTTAGGATTAATAACTGATTTAAATTCTGTGGTTTTAGGGGTTAATTGCACAATCCTAAGTGCATTCTCCTTCTTTCCTGGACATGCAGCTTCACCTTGCCAGGTCTTTTGCCCCCCAGCCATTTACTGGGTGGAGGAGGAGGTGATATATTTTTTATTTCTTCTCCAACTCCAATCCTCCTCCTCCCCTCAGCAAGGCAACATATAAAACCCTGTCCTTTGTCTTAGGACTACAGACTCTCTCCTTCTCTCCTAGGAAAGAGCCTGGTCTCCTCACTCCCTGGCCCAACCATGACCAGCTTCACTAGCCACTCTTTTGTCTCCTCGAGTGGAGGCTCCTTTCGGGGTCCCAGTCTGGGTGGGGCTTCTCGCCTCTCCATCTCGGGTGGCGGTGGCGGTGGCAGCCGCAGCAGGTTGGTTACACGTGCTCCCAGCATGCATGGGGGCTCAGGAGGGTCTGGTGTGCGCATCTCCACCGTGTCCAGCTCCTATGGGGGTCTTGGTGCCGGCTTTGGCCTTGGAGCCGGGGGAGCAGGTTATGGCTTTGGAGCAGGAGGTGGAGGTGGAGGTGGAGGAGGCTTTGGCTTTGGAGGAGGTGACCTAGACTTTCAAGTAGGAGTCAATGAGAAGGCTACTATGCAGAACCTGAATGACCGCCTGGCCTCCTACCTGCAGAAGGTGCACTCCCTAGAGAAAGCCAATGCTGAACTGGAGCTGAAGATCAGACAGTTCCTGGAGAACAAGACATCCCCATCTGCCCGAGATTACTCTGCATTTCAGGCCACCATCAAGGATCTGCAAGACAAGGTACTATTAACAAATTGTATTGTTGTCCAGTCCACACATTAGTGAACACCAGAAGGTCCACAATTTACCTATTTCTGTGATGACTTGCATTCAGACCATATTCCTGTGATTGCTTGGCTGGAAGCTAGGAGAAACCAAATGTGTGGATGGGGTCCACATGGGATGAGGAGTGAGTTAGGAAACAACGTAATGGTGTCGCTTAAGTTGATTTGTTCATGTAGTGTGTATAAATCTATAAAGAGCAACTGACCTCCAACTAAGAATTTATTACTTGTTTGTTTGTTCAATTTGAAATTTGCAAGATGGACTATATTTATTCATTCTGATTACATCACTTTGTATCAGGGATGTTCAACACAGTTGGTGCTTTCCCTGCTCCGATACTCCTGATCTGACTTGCCCGGTTTAGTGTGTGTGTTTGAGTAGAGGAAATTTTCCCTCCAGGACTGGAGACACCATTTCTCTATATGCTTCAAATTTTTCAGTATTGTGCATGCTAAGACTTTCATGGTGTACGCCTGCAGATCCAGGATGCAACCAGAGTGAATGGAGGCATCTATCTGAGCATTGACAATGCTAAGCTGGCAGCAGATGACTTCAGAACCAAGTAAGCAACCACTGGCACATATAGTCTGCATATAAAAATGTGGTGCTGGCGTATGACAACCCCACCACTACTGTGTTTCTGATAGATTTTATGTTACTGGTCAGGTATGAGAATGAGCTGGCCATGCGTCAGTCAGTGGAGGCCGACATTGCTGGACTGAAGAAACTCCTGGATGAGCTGACATTGGCCAGGTCAGACTTGGAGATGCAGATTGAAGGCCTGAAGGAGGAGCTGATCTTCCTCAAGAAAAACCATGAGGAGGTGAGCCCCATTTGACAAATTGTGTCATAAGCATTTATGGTCTGGTTTCCCAGATACAGATTAAGCCTAGTCAATGTCAATGGCAGATCACTATCCCTTTTAGGCAAGGGCTTAAGCATAATCTAGGTTGAAAAACCAACCCTATATTCATTGATTATGTGAATTATACTGATTATACTGACCTGATCAAGTCTCATGAACACATCATCATAGTTACATACATATTGTAGTTTTTTCAAGTTGACATGATAAAAACAAAGTCCATGTGAACAATATCCTTTTTAAAAGGCAGTCAGTGTAAGGTTAATACTGATTGACTCATTCTCACTATCTAGGAACTGGCAGCTCTGCGCACTCAAATGACAGGTAATGTGAATGTTGAAGTGGCAGCAGCACCTGGAGAAGATCTGAACCGCGTCCTGGCTGAGATTCGTGAGCAGTATGAAGCTGTGGCTGCCAAGAACCAGCGTGACCTGGAGGCCTGGTTCCAAACCAAGGTAAAGAAATTATCCAGGAAATTATCCATTATCCATTATATGTTATGGTTGAGACCAACAAACCTTCTGATGCACCATAACTTCAGATTCCAACAATGTGATCATACTGACACCAAAGGAGCATGTAACTAAGCTTAAAGTGCTGTTTCTCTGCAGTCAGAGACTCTGAATAAGGAGGTGGCCAGCAGCACAGCGAACCTTGAAAGTTCCAAGTCAGAAATCACAGAGATCAGACGGACTTTACAAGGCCTGGAGATTGAGCTACAATCCCAACTCAGCATGGTATTTATACATATGATATTTAATATAAGAATGGTATTTAGAATTAGGTACTTATATTAATTACTTCAGTTCATTTGTTCTCCAATTTAATTTCTTCTTCCTCTATAATCCTAATCCCCCCACTTCTCTACAGAAAGCGTCTCTGGAGGGCACCTTAGCTGACACAGAAGCACGCTACTCCATGAAACTAGCTGGGCTGCAGGCTCAGGTCACAGGGCTGGAGCAGCAGATGATGGAGCTCAGAGCTGATATGGAGAGGCAAGCTCAGGAGTACAAGATCCTGCTGGACATCAAGACCCGTTTGGAGATGGAGATTGCTGAGTACAGGAGGTTGCTGGATGGAGAGGCTGGCGGGTAAGAGACATTTTTGTAGTTGTTTTGATCTCTTCGGAATGCTCCAATCTCAACCGAATGCTCATGCTTCAATCATAGTCATAGTTCATTGCAGTTCATATTCATGCTGTTTTTCACAGCTTGTACAGACGTTAATATTAAGTTCTGTTTTGCAGTGGCAGTGGCATTGGCATTGGCATTGGCAGTGGCGGTGGCAGTGCCAGTATCAGTGTCAGCAGTGGCCCCACTCGCAGCGTGAAGGTGAAGACCATTGTGGAAGAGGTGGTTGATGGCAAGGTGGTGTCTTCCAAAACTGAGTAAACCCATTCTGGATAAATTAAACACCATAGCACCATAACATCTATGGCATCATTTACAATGAAATGAGAAAATAAAATGGTCCACAATGCAGAATGCCTCTTGTTTTTCTTAAAGCCATATTTCCATTCAGAATCACACTATATCACAGGGAATATTAGTGTTGAATATGTATGTATGTATATATATATACACACACACACACATGCCTACCACAGAACAGTACAACTATGTCAGAAATGACATTAAAGAAAAAGGTCTCATTCATTATGGAAAAAATATCCTCTGTAAATATGAATTTTTACTGCATGGTACACTGTATACAATGCAAAGTACAAGTATATAAACATATAGAGGTACACTACCCTAGCAACAGTATTTTCACACATGCTTTGATTGCAGATTTGAATATCCTGTAGGCCTATGTTTTGCCTTTTGCCAATTTCTAAAAGCATGAAGCCAGGCCATGTCATCCTTAATAACGAAGAAAGTCAGGAATACTTGCACTTTTCTTTACTTGGGTATTTTCTGTACCCTCTATTTCTTCAAGACTTCGCATACAGCTGATTTTTTCATTTTCAGGTGTAATGGCCTATACTGACATTTGTCTACCATACAGTCATCCATTTCTAAAAGTCTCTGTTTCAGTTTGGAATACTTCTTAATTAAGCTAGCAGTGTTTCAAGCAACATTATATATTTTCTGAAAAATTCCTTTTTCTTTGCAATTAGAGCAATGTATGTGGGCTTGAGCTGTGGAGAATGAGATAGAGGCACTGTAATTATGGAAGGTTGGGTGGTTGGACATTGTGATTGGGTGCAAGGAACAAGAGAGTTCAGATTGGGCAAGAACTGACAAGAACTGTTAGACAGCCAAAGAGACAACATCAGCAAAGAAAGTTATTCTGGTGCCTCAGCTTTTAATGTTTTGAAGGGTTCTTTACAAACATTACTTTTGCTATTTCTTAGACTATGTGTGTGACATTGGTGCACAAAACAAGTACTGATGTGGGATTTGCATCTGCAGGCTGCTTCTGTTGATTTTCAATGCCAGAATAGGAGGTTGAAACATCTAAATCTTCAAGAATAGACACAGGTAAATCATTAGGTGTGTCAAAGCTATTTGGTACATAGTCAAGACCCAAGAATGCACTGACAAGCTTAGCAATAGCAAACAGTCTGGTAGGCCACAGAAGTTCATGGTAGTGGATGGTTGAAAAATACTTTCAATCATAAGGAACCCATTTTCTGCTGTGGAAAGCAGTGGCTATACTCCTACTTGTTTTAAACTATGGAACAAATTTAGAATACTAACAACGATGTATGCTTAGATGTGTCAAAGACCATAAAGAGAGGAACACACCAGTGTCAAGAAGAGACAGACCAGGATACAGTTTGCAAAAAGGTATGTGCAGAAGAAAAGCAAGAACCAAGAATTACTTTTTAACTCAATTCTTGCAATATTTTCAGTGCAAAGCTGAACACTACTTTTAGGTGACATTTTGAAGTTGCTATTTGATTTGAATAATAAATCAGTGTCAATCAGCTCAATTAACAAATCTGTCATTCGTCCGTCATCACTGTCTCTGTGCTTTCCACCACCTTTCCATCCACAAGTGTCTCTACCACGGTGGTTGTCTTGTGAACAACTACAAAACAGGAAATGAGATGTGGTTATTTTCTAGTTCACTCACACAAGCCTTATCTCAACATTCCATTCCCTATAAACATTCTAAGTAATTAAATGCATGATAGACTTCAACTAAAAAAGTATGCTTTTATTTGTATCATCTTAGAAGAGATGTGAAACATGTCTTTGAGCTTATAGACTAAGAGATAAAAGATTGTGCTCTGGTTGTCTAAAGGTCTCATTAAAGAACAATAACAGAACTTTTAAAATGCATCTGGTCAAAAGTGTGTGGACATTCCTTTAGTGGGTGGAGCTTTTTCAGCCACACTCATATGTGGCTGTATAATATCAAGTGTATATCAATTGCTCACCATGCTGTGGTGGGTCTGTGTATTTTCAAAAAGTCAGACTACCATATCATTCCTACTTTGCTAGCTGCCCCGGTCAACTGTAAGTGCTGTTTTTGAGCAGTGCAACAACAGCTCAGCTGCAGGCCACACAAGAATGGTGTAAAGTACAGCATCATGGGACTCTATAGCAGTGGAAACATATTCTCTGAAGTGATCTGGTAGCCTGATCAATTAATCTGGGTTTGGTGTATGCCAGGAAAACACTACCTGCCTGAATGCATAATAAGAAAAGTTTAGTGGAGGAGGAATAATGGTCTGGGGCTGTTTTTGTGCTTTAAACACTGTAGTTCCAGTGAAAGGAAATCCTAATGCTACAGCAAATAATGACATTCAAAAGAGCTCTGTGCTTCCGAATCGGCAAGGAAGGCCCTTTCCTGTTTCAGCATGACATACAGGGTTCCCTTGCTCAAAGCAAGGTCCATAAAGAAATGGTTTGTTGTATTTTGGTGTGGAAGAACTTGACTGGCATGCACAGAGCCCTGACTTCAACAGCATCCAACACCTTTCAGATAAAGTGGAACTGAGACTGCAAGCCATCTTCCAGTGCTGACCTCACTAAGTCTTTTGTGGCTGAATGGAAACAAATCATTTGGGTGGACCAATTCTACATTAATACCCATGGTTTCAACAGCTACATAGATGTGTGGATGTGATGTGCTGGGGTCCACTTTTGGCCATGTAGTGTAGCTGAACTGCCTACTGCAGCAGATAATTCTGAATAAGGAGGGATCCTCCAGCCCATGACAACCATAAATCATCAAGACTGAAAGGAAGTCACTCACTTTGGTGCTCACTGTAAAATAAAAAGAGAAAGAGACAAAGAGAAGACAAACATCAACCAACATCATCCAACAGATTTATATAATTTGTGCATTACTTGCTTAGATGTTTATATGACCATAAATATATACACTGATGAAGAAATATGCTATAAAGATGCTATATTTTGTCTTGTGTAAAATAACATTAGCATGGTCTAAAATATATGTGCCAGTATGTTTTATTTTATCATAATTCTACACAAGCCTAATGGAAATACAGTTTGTATACAAACTATATTTATAGTTATAAATGTACAGTTATATTTTATTTTTACCGAATAAAATATTTTCAATTAGAAGATAAACTCTTACAAGATTTCAGAAACATATGTATTTCTAAAAAGAGTTACATACATACAGCTTATCTACAAATTCAAGTAGTTTATGTTAGTATATCAGTAATTTCCATGCATGCTTTTATACTGCATGCATACCAATATGTTGCCAATATTTTTTTCCCTTACAGCACTGCAATACTCTCCTCACCTGTTTTCTCCCTCCAGCAGTAGCCTGTACTCTGTGATCTCTGTCTCCAGATGATTCTTGAGGTCCAGGAGTATGTCATACTCCCTTTTGTTGGAGGTCATGTCAGAGTGGATGTGATAGAGTTGGAGCTCCAGGTTATTGATGGTCCTCTGCAGCTCTGCTAACTGTTCAGAATACCGAGCTTCAGTCTCTGCTAGACTTTCCTCATTGGACATTCTCTGTGGAGAAACATCAGGAGAAAGCATGAGTGTGAGAATGGTGGGATTAGCATAGGGGTAAATAGGTTTTACTATATACCATACCACTTAGCCAAACTGTGAAAGCAATAGTTTGGCAATTTACACAATTTTGCGAGCTACAAGGTTAGTGTCATTAATCACACTTGCTGCAAATAGCATTGAGTTTTTAAGAAAAAAAAAAAAAACTTGCTTACATGTGTTCGGTATACACTATATAACATACTGTCATACTGTTATAATATACTGTTGTTATACTGTTGTCCTTTTTTATGCACGCACACATAAAAGTGTGATGTTTATGACAGCCAATTGTGTAAAACATGAGGAGGAGACACCAAAGAAGAAAAAGAAATCTTATGATCTACATATGTAGAAAGTAAAGTCTTTATAACGGTAAAAAAGCTACCTCTGTAAGCAAAAAATAGTGGATCATGAGACAGAGCCTTAGATCTACAATGCTGAGAATGTGATTCAAATTGTCAAAGATTTAAATTGGTCTGTGGTTCAAATTGTAACTTATTAAAACACCAATCAAGCAACTAGTCACACAAATTAGACAGCTTGTGGTAGTCACTGTGTTTTAGTATCAGTAGCCTCTTATTTTACAAGACATCACCTAACGAGAAAATCCTACCCAGGGCCCTTAAAAGGCTAAAGCTGGCTCTGGCTCTTAAGTTACTTGTAGAGATGTGATACTGTGAACTGAACATAAGTTTTTCAATCCAACGACCATATCTTGCTTCAAAAAGACTCCTGACAGTGGGCAGAGTGAGCAACTGTTTGCAAAACTGTGTTTCCAATCAAACAGATTAAAAACAGATCAGATACCCAATCAGAATGGAAGTAAAATCCTGATAGTTGTGGCCAGCTTAGGGTGCAATAGATTCCGGATGGTTTGTACTTCTGTGGGTGAAGCATTTAAGGTTGAGTCTAGCAGTTCCTGGCATAGGCACTTTGTGCAATGGCATTCATGTGCCTGCATTCCTACCCCATATGCTTTGTTAGAATTCACTCATTCAATGAAATGTACATATTAAATACTTTGATGTAATGTTGAACACATTAGCCCCTCTAGGCAATAAATGATTTCACTTACAGTTTTAAAATTTGTGACTGTAAATACACATGCCACCTGTGTGGATTCATGTCACTTTCTTTCCTTCCAATGACTCACACAAAAGAAATTTGCATGCAAATTTCCCCCCAGGCCACCCTTTCAGGAGAAATTTTAGCCTGCTAAATGTGAACACAACACTGTGAAAGTGCCACGTGTGTAAAATTAGGATGTTGCCAACATTGGAAAAGTTATTATTGTGGGTGATTTTTTGTATTAAAGAAAACTAAGAAACCTCGGCTGAAACTGATGATGCCTAGGCCAGTGTTTCTCAACCCTGGTCCTAGAGGCCCACTGGCCTGCACATTATAGTGTTTTTCCTGATCCCAACACCAGATCCAACTAATCAGCTCATTAATGGCCCACACTAAAATCTGCAGAGCAGTGGGCCTCAAGGACCAGAGATGAGAAACACTGGCCTGGGCAAAAACTGAATGAATTTCAGGATGGCAGTTTGAGACTGGTTTCACTTCATCATAGATATAAACTCTGTAGTGGCAGTAGATTGCTTCTGTCTCACAATGAGAATCTTTGTTAGTCTGCATGGCCTCTATTTATGTCCCTTAATCACAAACATATGGTTTATTTCAACTTCACAATCAACCACTGTTAGTTTGCTGTTTGAGTCACTAGAAGGTGGAAAAAACTGGAAATTACATAAAATGTGACAGTTAATCTAAGTAATTCCATCTTAAACAAGGTATACGTCTTATACTGTGCATGTAAGTATGGAGAACATTTCCCCTTACTGGTCCAAGTCACAGAAAGTTGGCAGCACACAGGTTGGTGAGAATAGGGCTGGAACTGGTCTATTATAAAATACCACTCATAAGCCTTTATAAGCCATAAGCATTTTATGCCTTGACATGTTGCTGCAGGCTTGTAAAACTCTACTCATATACAAATTGCAAAACATAGAGTTTCTTTTCAAGGTAGATGAGGTGAAGCTGGCCTTGTCTGTCTTTCTGTCAACCATGAAAAGTAAATAACCTTAATAGAAGAAAATGACTGATTCCACATAGAAAATATATTGGTAGATGACTACGCTAGCTCTCTTAAAGAAAGGTTAGACGCTTAGTGTTACCTCATCTGGATAGTTAAGTATATATATGTGAATATATGTTGTACAGTGCAAATGGGTACATAATGGCACATAATTTAGGACTACAAGTATGCGGTTGAGCGTGCTTGTATGTGTGGGTGTGTGCTCACCATGCTGTGGTGGGTCTGCAGTTCAATCTGTAGCCTCTGGAAGGTGCTCTTCAGCTCTTTGAGTTCCGTTTTGCTATAGTGCAATTCCTCTGAGTGTGTGACCACGTCCTGCTCCACAGTGGAAATCTGTAAAACACAGCAAATCTGCTAAAACAACCACTTTCTGGCCTCTGCATCTGTGATTAATCAACATCTTTTTTTATATGGGTAGAATTTGTCTTTGGAAGTAACAGTTGTCATTCTATAATTAGGGTGGCCAGATAGTCCATGGTCTAATAAGGGACAGAGGGCCTGAAAGGACAAATATGCTGTACTGTTCAAAAGTCAGAGATGACCATTCATTTATTTAATGTCCTATCAAAACAGCCATAAAGTACAAGTTATTCAGTTTTCAGTGTCAGAAAAAATAGCCAGAAACAGCTTTTTGACCACCACACATTCTTTCAGACTTGTAGCATTAAATCTCTCTTAAAGATGAAAGCTTTAAGTACTGTTTATCTGAAGGTGACTGTTTTGATGGTCTAGCAGGCCTTGCATGGTTGTTAGGAGTCCCCTGGTGTAACTTTCATATGTATTTATATTTTTCAACTCCAATTTTGGAAACTTGTTTTTTCACTTATATTGTTTTGACTTTCTCCTTTCTAATTCAAGTAGATAATCTTTTGTCTAATATCCTCAGAAATATCTCCTGAAGAATGAATAACTTGCTTGGTCTCAGACTGCAACTGTACAATTTTTGCTAAGTTTTGTAAACCCTTTTCCCATAGAGGAGAACACTAACTTAGCATGCATAGCGCTGAAAGTGCTAAAGTGTAGTACTCACTCATAGTCCTGTCAGAACATATTATTTTGTCTAGTCAGTTACCTCCAATTATGCGATGGACTGATCCCATTGGTGACTACATGTATGCTGCATGTGTGCACGTGTATTGTGTGCCAGAGTGTGAACACTGAAGATTCTGTGCAATTAAAAAAGCATTCTCATCTACATAATGGACAGATAAAATTCTGGTGAAAAACAGGACTATTCTGTCTAGTCACTTTAATTTAACTGTGGTGTACCTTGCTCTGGTACCAGGTTTCCAGGTCGCTGCGGTTTTTGGCAGTCAGGGCCTCATAATGCTGTCTGATCTCTGACAAGGCTTTGTTCAGGTCCGTAGAGGGCGCTGCATCCACAGACACGTTCACCTGGGCAGCCTGCTCACGTACCTCAGCCATTTCCTAAAAGACAAAGCCGATGCAGCTTTAGCAAAAGATATATACATGTACAAATGAGATTAAAAAAGATATTTTCTATCTGGGCAGTATGCAATCATTTGCTCAGAAAAACACTAATATTAGAACAAATACATATTACATTAATATAAAAAGTATTGATCTTAAGTATGTCAGTGTTTCCAGTTGAGCATTTCCAGGCCTCTCATCAAGGAAGAGCAATATTATTTGTAGTTAACATCCAATAACTGCTTTGGAATCAAACAATGCTGCATTAAACTAAATCAGGCGTGCTGCTGATGGAATATAATAAATCCATGCAATTGCTGGAGGCATCAAGGGGAGTCTGGAACCAACCTCTGAAGTTCCAACTAACTCAAAAGATATCAACTACTTTTAAAGAAGCAAGAAATTCTTGTTATTTTACTGCATTAATGTTTGCTTCCATTTATTCTAAAGTTACATGGTGTTTTTACAGGTCAAAAAGCACTTATTATAGAATTGTTGCTATCTTAGCTGTGGCCAATCTCGATAATCATCGAGCATCTGAGACTAGCACGTTGCTAACTGGTGGTCATAAGCTTCCGTTACTTGTTAGCCAGATATTCCATGGTCAAATCTGTGTTGGCTCATAGTTCCAGAGAATAACTAAAGAAATAAACTTCAGATACTAACAATGTCTTTGGGTAGATTTGATTTTATTCCTCCTCAAACTATCACTTTAAGGCTAAAAAAGCACACTGACATGAAATCAAGAAGTATTTGTGTTAAAAGGGCATTTGACTCTAGAGGGACTTACAAGTTTGAGTGTGTGCATGTGTGTGAAAGAGGCCCAGTTACATAACCTGCAGTTTCTCAAAATGAGCTAATGGAAGGGAAAACTGCAAGCAGAACACAAGAGAGCTAAAAGGACTGGAAGGAAGAAACACCGCATTAGTAATACACTCATTGCCCCTGCTGTGGAAAACCTCACTGTTATATCAAAGACACAGTGCCTTGGTTAACTTGAGTTTAACTATCGTGTTTTCCTCTTGAATCTAAGAACAGAACTAGACTAAAACCAGTAAACGTAGTGGCTAAATCATATTTATTCACAGTTTACACTTTCTGCACTGCTTGTGCAGAAAAAATGAGGTAGTTATATAACTACAATTATGTAGTGATTGCACTGTACTGCACATGTGAAGTTAACTAACATAGAAATAACTGAGTGTGATTTATATTTAGCTTGTCACACAAATCATCTGAGCACAATGTCCTTGCTTCATTTCAGAAAAGTGGAATTCAAGTTTTTTTAGCATGTTCTGCTGTTCTTCACTTATAGTTCTAGTTTCTGCAATACACTGAAGGAACCTCCTATTTTCCTCCACTTCTTATGTACACAGTAACTAACATACCTACTAACATAGACACCAACAAAAGAAGGCATCTTCATGAATTTGTTGTTGCTAGTCCTCATCTTTCACGGATGTATGAAAAAAATGCTTGGGTTGTCTTAGTGACTTAGTTGACACTGAGACTTCCACACTTTTAACAGAATTTCATTAGGGGTCCTCACTTTTATTGGAATAGTTTTGGATTAGACTATATCTGTGCTGGAATTCAACTCAACGCTTTTGGTTCAGAATTCATGATAATGAATCCACTGCACACCACATTCCAGGGTGGATCCGTGTGGTTAAGAGATAGAGCTTTAATGCCAGGGAAGATCCACCTTTCTCTTCTCTTGGATTAAAGGAGCCTTTTTAGAGGGCAGAGTCATGGTAGAACCTGACACAGCCTGCATGAAAGTAATGAATGCCAGTTTTGTCTTGGAGATTTTCTCCAGCTGCTGTATGTTTAGCTGGTTTCACCAATGCTACAAAATGTTCTGGCTTGTAAAGAGAAACAGAGGTGTCTGGAAATAGTGACCAAACTTTACAGTACAATTCACAAGCATCCAAAGATTTAAGTACAATTCACACCTTGAATAACTGTGTGTTACCTCCAGCGTAAAGTTACACTGCTGTTCCAAAGTTTGGAATCATGTTGAACATTTTCAACATTATTAAGTCTGGTTGCAGATACATAAGCTACCAGCCAGTTTAGACACAACTACCTAGCCAACTATTTTGCTTGTTGTAGAATAAAAGTGATGCAATCAAACTGTAAAATGTCACATATTGAATTGTACCAGAGACCATTTGCTCTTAATATAAGCTTTAAATACTATTGTCTTGCTTTCGTGCAGCTTAAGAGCCACCTGGAATACATTTCTAACAGGCTTGAAGAAATACCACACATGCTGCAAACTTGTTGACTGCTGAAATGCACTTCGGGGGCCATCCAGAAAAATAAATAGGTTAATAACTTAAGTAAGTTTCATTTTGTCTAATACGTTCATACATAGGAATGCCCTGAATAATTTAGGCTTGTTTAAGTAACAGACTAAGCATTTAAACAGAAATGCAGATCAAAATGACTTTAGGAGTATGAAAAACAAACATTCAGTCAGGTAAATCTAAACTTTTTGACTGGTATTGTATATAAAATGATTCTATTATACTATACTAATACTAATCTTTATGATGCAAATAATCAATAGGAAGTTGTAAAAAATATTTGAAGCATTCTATAAAACATCCAAAAATACCCTCTGGTGTCTAGTCAAGTGCTTCCATCTTGTGATGGTTATGAACTCCAAATAAATATTTTATTATAAGAAGCTGCAGATAGTTAGAATCAAAAGCAGATCATGTCCCAGTCAATTCAGCATATCTTGATGGCAAATGTTACTGGAGGTGATAAGAGAAAACAAAGCCAGTGGATGGAGGAATTTTTGCTATGCTATACCTGCTCATGGTTCATGTTGAGCGTGACAAGCTCCTCCTTCAGACTCTCATACTGCAGCTCAAAATCTGAGCGAGAAAAGGTCATCTGATCCAGAACCTTTCTGATGCAGTTAGTGTCTTCCTCCACCACCACACGCATGTTTCGCTCAGTCTCATACCTGAAGTCATGAAGTAGACAGTTAAATCTGGAAAAGTAGCTACTTAGATGCAGCACACTAGTAGATTAAACCCACACAAAAAGATTACTTACTTCATTCTGAAATCTTCAGAAGCCAGTCTGGAATTGTCAATGTCAAGCACAGTCTTGGCATTACACTTAGCGATGTACTCAATCTGGGAGATGAAAGGAGGCATTCTCGTTAGTGAAAGCAAAAGATGTTTATACTAAGGAACTTTTCATACTAAGGAACCTAATCAACTGCACTGAAAAAATGTTGCTTTGAATATACTTGATTAAAATGTATTAATTGGTTCCAAATATCAACACGATTAATGATGTATATTTTACTTACTTTTGCAAGGAATTGTTGTTGTAACATAATTTTTTAATGTAGAGCCAATGCACACATTTGAATTAAGTAAATTCAAGCATATGAAGAACAGCTGAAGTATCTATTCTTAAAAATAAAAGTATTTTACTCTCCTATCCAACACTGCCTTTAATCTGAAGGAACAACTCCAGGAACCGGCAAAACTTGCTATTTCTCTACTATGCTGCACTTTGACAATGAAACGGAAGTCAAACAAAAAGTATCAACTTCAGTGATGAAAACAAATTATTGTATTCCTGTAGACACACAGTATATCCTTCACTATTTACATGTATCATTCACTTTACCAAAGGCATAAATAACTTAACCAAGGCCTAATATTACTGCCTCAGAATTGAAGGTGTAGCATAAAAAAGTGTTTTAAAGGATTATATGTGTGTGTGTTTGTGTGTGTGTGTGTAGTTGAGGTCCATGATAAGAACAAATATCACATTGTATACTCATTATAGCGGGCAAAAATTAGATAATGAATTTATATTTATTAAAAATGAAGGTTTCTAAGTGGTTCCTGGCTTGGACAGAGAGTTCTAGGAAAAAAAAGGTAAAAGAATCTGTTTATTATGAGTTCACACTCACACATTTACACAAAGGGTACACAAAGATACCTATTTAAATGTTCTTCAGGGAACCAAAAGTGGTTCTTCTGTGGCCTTGCTCCAAACCCCAGTTTTTGTTCCATTTAAAACTAGAGAAGATTTTTAACAAGACTGCACTAGGAGGTCTGTAAAGCAGGTTTTAGAACAAGTTTTTCTTACAATGGGGTTGGTGAGCTTGTGTCCATTGGTAGGATCTTGAACTCAAAAGATGTATACAAAGGCATTTTGGATGTAAACCTGCAGAAATCTGTAGAGAAACTTAGTTTTTCTTTGTAAAGCTAATACAGATGGATTTAGCTCTAATTTCTACATTTCATAAATATTTATGTATCAGCATCAGTAGATATGTACATGAAAAATAGCATATCGGCATTGACTCATGTTTTGAAGAGTTAAAACTAATTCTACCATATTCTACATTCAGAAGTCACTCCACAACCCTTTTCCAGTCTTTTCAGTCTCACCTGCTCTCTTAGATCTTTGACCTTTTCCAAGAAGTCAGTGTGGTCACGGAAGATGATATTATGGCTTTCATACCACTCCGTGATGTTCTTCTCCAGCTCAGCATTTTTCTTTTCCAGAGAATGCACCTTCTGCATATAGGAAGCCAGACGATCGTTCAAATTTTGCATGGTGACCTTCTCATTGGTTGAAATGTGAAGATCAAGACCATCAGCAAGATTGAAGCCCCGAACAGATCCGTAAAGAGACCCACAGCTGGAAGTTGAGATGCGAGCTCCTTGGCCCCCAGCTCCCCCATACATGCTGAGAGTCCTGGATCCATAGGTTCCATAGGATCTACTTGAGAAGGACATGATGCTGTCCTGGTAAAAGGTTGTAGTAAACAGAAGATGAAAACGAGGAGTGGATAATCAAACACCTGTTTGCCTGTGGATTAACGTTGTGGAAGAACTTCTTTATGTACTTGCTAAGGTTCTGCAATGAGGGAGGGCATCTCCATTATACAGGCCGGTTTACAACCCCAACCCCTTTCCCACCCATGGCCATGCTGCCTCATGACCAGTTGAGCCCGCATACCTGCATTTTCATCTCATCGAAGGTTTGACATATTTCAGATGCCTGCCCTGGCCTTTATCGTCAAGAATCGGTTCATAGGCCGCAACTGCTTCATTCATTTGAGGGCTATTTTGCTTATCTCTAAGGAAGACACCCCATCAAAATGCATACTTCGTTACTTGCCATGACCATGAAAAAGATGTGAATCAAAAGTTGGAATGTGAGTCATTCTTTAAACACAGATTTTTAGATTAGCAATGCTTTTCAATAGAAAATTTGTCATCAAACCTGTTTGATGGGAAACATTCAACTTATCTCAGAAAACACCATGGTACACAATGCAGCCTGTGGCACTGCTTTCGTTCGTACCATTGTCCAAACGTTAAACTAACTTTGACCTTGTTTCCTTTTCCAAAGGAAATACTTAATGGCCCTGGGCAAAGTGTTTGGAACAGAACTACTCAACGGATTAGCAGCGCAGGGCACAGGCATACTATTGGAATGTTCTTGGGGATCTTGAAGAATGTTTTCACAGTAGGGCTGTACCAGAGTAGTGGTGTATAACTTCGTAGCTTGAGGTATTTTTATTTCTAAGAGACTTTCAACTTTAACTGAATGCCATTGTCCATCTAAGGAAAGCACTCCACCTGCAGAAAGTTCAAGCTACAAATGAGCAAAGCAATGCTAGATGAGGAACCACTCTGACAGCCACCAAAATGTGTCTGTTTTAAGCCCATTATCTCAGATCCTCCAATCTAGAGACATGATAAAATACTTGCGTAATACTTCTATCTGCAACAAAGCATCATTAGATATGCTCAGTTTGCACAGCATGTACCATGAACCCAACATTCCAGGAGACATTTCAGATTTGATGTGAGCCAAAATGCCCTTCAAAACAAATAACTGAGGGATGATTAAAAAATAATAAACATTCAGACAGACAAAACCTCACTCACTCTCACTTATCATCTAAGCTGCTTATCCTCCTGGATCATTGGGGGGTGCTGGAGCATAATGAAATAAAAAAAAAACTTTTATGACATACAGTAAATTGTCAAAGATAGTTCTTAAAAGAATAGCTGCTTGTTTTTTATTTTTTTATTTCGCTTGTAAGATTTTTCAATAATAACAATTTCAGGCTTAAAATGGCCGTTAAATATGCTCCAAAATGCTGTAAAATGTTTTGAGCAAATGTGTAATGAGTTTTGAGTTGGTATGCATGCATATTTGGCAGCACTGGAGTCAACTGATTGTAACATGTCTTGTGCAAGCCATTATCAGTCTTCATTGTTCTGTTTAACGCATGGGGTGGGGACCTCCTGATTCAAATCAGCTACCTTACTCAACTCAGTTGGTTACCAGGTTTAGTTGGTTTGTTATAGCAGGAAAATCACCAAACTGTACTGGACTCTGGCCCTCTGTTCCCCACCCTACTTTAATGCTATGGGAACAACTGGACAACAACGAGAAATTATGAAGTTACTGCTATATATTCTTCTCATTTTCCAAATATAGCCATTCTGCCTCACTATGAACCATAATAGTAAAGGTTTTTACTCTATTGTATAGACACAATGCAAATATCAACAAACCTCCTTTTGCTTCAAGTAGAGCTAGAATAACATATTTAAGAATGGATAGATGTGGGGCTGCTACTTTGTTGTCCTATAACTCATTTCAACTCCTATGGCACGAAAGCATCTCACCTCATTAAAGATCATTTGCCAGCATTTGGATTATGGATGACCATCTTACTGTATTTCAGTTGCAGAAGGTTTTTCACACTTCGAATTAGACAGTACATCACAATATCTCAACTTCAGATACATGTTCATGTTGCTTATTATCTATAATAGACAAACATTTATCACAAACAAGAAAAATATAACATGATTTAAAAAAATCTCAAAATCTTGAAATATGTCTTTGAATTTGGAGGGAGCGTCAACAAAAATAAATGCCAGTTTATGAATTATATTTACAACAGCTAAAAGCCAGCAAGGGTGTCCTGTTCATCAAACCTACTCCATACTCCTACTGCACATGTGCATATCATTAGTATAATATAGTATCTTATTTTTTCTAATGTTTTATTGTGTTTTTAATGTTAATTCAGCCATACCTAAAGTATATTATTCATTATCCAAAATACCTTATGTATAGTTTTAATGCTGGTAGCATTTTCCAATATATACTTGGGGTAAGGGCTATCAATATATCCAACCTACAGTTCTAATGCGGGTAGCATTTCCCACTAAGGTGATTTAGGCTATTAAAATATCCTTCCTATAGTTTTTTGTAGAGATCTACCTTTAAATATGTGCTACGTTAGGACATTTTGACAACAGGTGCTGGTCACAGTTCTCTGGCAGACTATCAGCTCTTAATTAGATTTTATGCACTTGTCACAATAGCCAATCAGCAGTGCAGAAAAATATCGCAAAATATGAAAACTAGGACACAGACAAGGTTACAGCCTACATCACAGTCTTTCACAAATAACATTGGCAGGGATGTAACATTACACTCTGCTGTGACACACTTAGCCATGAGACTGTCTTTTGTCCCTTTATCTCTTTTAGCTTTTAGCAATGAGTAAAAGCCAGTTTAAGATTTACTCTAGTCTCTTCCTCGCTTCCTCAGACAATATCTTCTTCAGTCTTTTTGCAGCCTCTGCCATGATGTCTGTATCGAGCAAGCTTCTTATAGCTAGCTGAAGAGCCGTAGTTGTTGTTGTGTGACATGGAGCTGTAAAACGTAATCCAGTTCTCATGAGAGTTTTCGTGTCCTTCAAAGTTACATAGCACTACAGCAGGCATTCTGGGCCTGGAGTGGCAATGGTCTTCTCCCTATTATAAGTCTGGGTACCATCAAAATGATTTTGAAGCTGTTATTGTAAGGTAAAATTGTTACATAACGTTGCTTTAAGTGATCTGCTACTTTTGAACAGGCTTATTGTAACAGTGTTCAATTGGTTTTGTGCTGTTTAGCTCTATTGCCCTTGACACTGGTAATTTGTGCCATCCAGCTGTCAATGAGCAAATAACTATTATTATACTATTTTACTTTGTATCTGTGAAGTGCTTCCTGACTTGTAACTTACACTCACTCATGTTAAGCAGACGGAAGATTTTCCACATGGGGGAGCCATTAGCATTTGAATAACCCTTGTGTTTGTGACTGAAAAGGAAGAACTGGCATAAATCACTGTCTGCTGATATGGGAAATGTTCACTCCATTAGAGTAACAACACTTCAGATGATGACTTAGCTGATAAAAGAGTAGCAAGTGAAGCACAACGTGTTGTTTTTATGTGCTTGTTATTCTTTTGTCATCTACATACTGACATGAATGGGTGACAATTGTCAAAAGTGCAGGCATTACAGTGGTTTACAAATGTCACTCTCAGAGAATGTCTCTTGCCTCCAAGGTAACTATGACCATAGTAATTTGTGGCATAATAATTTCTGCCCGATTGATAGTTTGAAATGCCTAGGCGTAGGTCTCACCGGTCCACTCCCAGAATGACTGGTCTGTACTTTCTGCCAGTCACGTAGAGCCTGCTTGAATAATGAAAGAGGTGCTTGAGTAATCCAGTGGGTGTGTTTCAGTAAACTGAGAGGTGCAGGTGGGTCTTGTTTAGTGTTGCCACTAGGTGATGCTAACAATCCTCTTTGTCTATTGAACTTACACTTTTGCATTAGAAAACTATGGGTGCCATTTTCCAGCTCCAGTTAAAGAGACTGACTGGATTGACTATATACCTGTTTAGTTACCATAAGTGGCCATTACCTGCTACTCACATGTCTCGATGTAGAGTATAGTTTAGTCATTTGTATACAATGCAATATTGTCAGTTGTAAACTGGGTTAAATGTGTGGTTTGTCAACTATATTTCTCTTAGGTGTCGGTCATGAATGTGCTCCCCAGCTGTCTACAATGATGTATCACTCTCTACACATGATAAGCTGCTAGAAAAGCAAGAAAAGATGTTAGAACTAATATTTGCTGGAATGGAGTTTGTGCAAAGTAAATACAAAGTTAAATGATCGTCAGGCTATTCATCAACCAGTCACATTCAGGAGTGCCATAAATTTCTTTTTGGAAATGCTCAGTTTTTGTATTTGTTCATATTTTATTTTTTTACCTTTTTATTACCACCTAGTCTTCATTGAACCACCCACACAGTGTATTCAGCCTGTCCTTGAAAAAAAAAAATGTGAAAGAGGAGAATGATGGGTGTAGCTTAACACAAAGCTCTCTTTTTAGGTATTACCTGAAGTATTAGGAGGCAAAAAAACAGCAACACCCAGAGCCAGTCCTCGTGTGTGGTAAACTCATGTCTCTTTCACAGTAAAGAGACTGCCTCACCATTACTTTGATGACCTTTGTGATTTTATTATTTATTTTCAGATTCATAGCATTGAGTTGTCTTCTCACATTGGATGAATGGACAGAAAAACCTGATTTGAAGCAAGAGTGGAACTTCCAGTCTCTCAAACATGAAATCTGACAGTTTTGGTGGTCTACAAGCAGAAATTGGACCTCCAGTTTTGTAGTTATTTAAGCTGATTTTCTTAATGCAAATGGATCATATTACGTCAAATCTCTTCAGAAATATCTCCTAAAAAATAAATTACTTGTACTTAATATTAGTTTTGACTGGAAATTGAATAAACGAAAAGTGGTCTCTGACTTTTGTACAGAACTGTATGTATATGGAAGAATATGTATATGAATATGTAAGACTATAAAAAAGATTAGGTAACTTATTTTTAGATGTTTTTACCTGCTTCAAGTAATTTATCTAGTGAAAATGTCTTATTGCATTGGCAAATAATTTTGCCTATTTCAAGAAATAATGCTTAAAAGAAGCCAAATGATATGTCAATGGAACAACTTTTGTTGGATAAGTTTACCCTGCGATGGACTGGCAACCTGTCCAGGGTGTTTCCTGCCTTCCGCCCATTGACCGCTGGGATAGGATCCAGCTCCCACTGCGACCCAGATGGATTAGCGGCTTAGAAAATGTGTGTGTGTGTGGACAAGTTCATTAATGACATTCTTACAACAATCTCAAAAAATAATACATTATACAAAAATATTAGATATTTAGACTAGATTTATTACTTTAGACTAGATCACTTGCCAAGATATAAATTTTTACAGTGTACCTGCAGAATGCAGAAGTGTCCTTTAAACACTTATATTTTGAGTGTTCTTACTGTGTAAAAATCCCAGTAATGCTGCTATGTCTGATAACCTACTGTGTTGGTAGTACTGCTGTACTAAATTGTCCACAACCCAAATACTGCTCAGAGGTGGTTATATGGTGATCCCTTGCCATAGATGTATGTGGTTGCTGAGGGTGGCTGATAAATTGTGTAGCAACAGATGGGCTACAGTCATTAACTGTAATCCTACAAAGTTTACCTATATGGTAGGTGTTTCTAATAAAATGGCGCATGAGTGTAGGTCCAAGGTGAGCATACCTAATAAACTCAGTCTGTGCAGAGCAATACTTCCATGTTCCATCTGAGCAGCATTTCCACACACTTGCTGCAATGGTATTTAACAGGTCACAAACAGCCAGACTGAATAGGAAAGTGTGACACTCTGCCTGTGCAGAGGGAACTGTGCCAGCTGAGGGAACAATGCCGTCGTTCATCTCCTGTGCTGCACACTCATACCTGAGTGTACCTTTCAGAAAGGTGGATAACAAGATGACAGCAGCGATGGGGGGCGGGGTTGGTATGGCCGAGAGCTAGCAGAAGCTTTGACAGCATGGGAACTAAATGATATCTGGCTGCTTGCCAAGCTTCCATGTTTCGGTGCAGGTTATGACACTGGCCCGAAGCTTGAAGGCTGGAATCTTACACATCCTGCCATGAACAATAGTATCAGTTTAAAAAAATAAACAAGAGAAACATCAGAGGGGAGGGGAGCGAGGTCATTTATTTTTGTTGTTTTGTTTAGTTGCCATGACACCACAAAGACAATGTCACAGATTTTCAGCCAGTGCATATGAACACAACATGAGTCAAACAATGCAGGTGAAGGTAATGAGGAAACACTCAGCTCATTTTGCAGATGTTCACATGCACAAACAGCACCTTTACATGTTGAGTTCACACTGGCAATGATCACATTGCCAAATTGTGCATAATAACAGATGGGCTGCAATCAATAACTGCATGCCTACCAAATGCATAGGCACAAGGTAGGTGTACTTAATTGACTAAGTTTAGTCTGTATCACTTTACTGTTTTGGCTTAGTCTGAATATGACCAATGAAAATGAAATACAGAGGTATGCAAAGGTTTGGGTGCCCCTAATCAAATTAACGTTTTGTTGATTTTATAAGTGAAAACAAGCGCACATCTTCTACAGAAAACACACTTCTGCACATTTTAATGTGCAATTACTGTTCAGTTGCTAAATTTAAAGCTGCACTTTGAAAGTTTTGAAGATTTGGAGACCTCTCTGCTTTAAATGTGTAATTGCTCACAACATGCAAAAAAATGCATCGGTTATGCTTCGGACCCCCGTGAGCAGATGAATCTGACATTTTCGAGCACATTGAAAGTGTATTAAAGAGAATTCAGTCAAACCTTGGTGAAAGATGAATCTATTGAGGATATGAGTGAATTATCGACTGTTGCCATCACATCTTTATAATGTTGATTTTGCATTTGAGACCTAAACATCAAGCTCCTAAACAGCAAGACCTTCTTTTTGAGCCTGTGACAATAATATGTAAAAATGTATAGCATGGTCCAAAAACTCTTGCAAAACACTATTATTGCTTATTTTTTCCAGTATGTTAAACTTAGCAAAAACTTTAAAAAACTTAGCGAAAACTTAGCAAAAAAAATTCTGCACTAAAATGAGCAAATAAAATGTTTTTCACTGTAAAGTATTTGTTAACTTATTTTTGAACAAAACATGTTCAAACTTTTGCATTTGACTGTTAATTGTTACACTTTGTTGGTATATTTTGGAAATAAAATTTTCAACATATTACTGTTTTATGGGCTTGGCCACCCTCTTAAGAGTTAAGAAAAGTAAAACCTAGCAGTCAGAAAGCATGCTGAGCTAGCATGCCACTCCACTGCAGTTTGCTCTTCCCTTTGTTCCACTGGACACAGAAAAGAATAATTAGTGTTATGGTTTTGTCTGCATATTTATCGCTCTTTGAAGGCCACAATCAGGAATATCATAACAGCTTTGTGTCAGCTATGTTTTCGCAACTTGAAAAGGAAAGGGCTGAGAAGGAAACTGTTATATCAACTAAAACATGCTGTTTAAGAAATTCTAATAATAATTATTATTATAATTATTACTGTGTTTGACTTCATTAAAACCTCTCTGTGTGTTATATGCTGCACATTATCAGTACACTTCACTCTTCAAGGGTTCTTCAGTAAAGACAATGGTTCTATATAGAATCATGAACACTCAAAGAACTGTTTGAATGCATAAATCGTTCTCTGTATAGTCAAATAGTTCTTCTCCATGATGGAAAACCAGTATATGGTTCTTTAATGAACGCTTTTTTAAAAATATAGCATTAAAAAGGGATCCAGTATTGTTCTGAGTGAAAGAACCCCATTTGAGGACTATATAGAGCCCATTTTGCCAAGAGTGTATTCAGATATTGCTGAAAATTTGTAGCCTGCAGATTCCAGTCTTTCCTTAGAGATTTACTCGCGCTTACTGACTTATCCTCATCTTCATGTGAGAGGAATCATTTTTATTGAGTCATTGCAAGCAAAGCAGAGATTTAGAGAAGCCAAGGGTGTGGTCAGTAAGGTTGGTCTCTGCTTTAGCGACCATGTGTTCACAGGCCTGCGCAGGCCTGTCCCAGAGAACTCTCCCATCGGACAAAACTGCCACTTTTAAACAGACTGTGGTCCATTCCTGAAGAGCCCTTATCACCGCTTTCAGCCTGTGCTTGAGCACACCTCTACCCGAGAGAAAGTATAGAGGGGTGGAGTGCTGTTTACACAGTGAGTCATGACTGAGTCTCAGCAAGCCTAGCACACTAATGCAGTACAGACAAAGGCAGAATTAAGTTTGACTAAGAGTAAAAGCTGACTGTTACAACTCACGTGAAACTTGGTAGTCCAGAAGCAAATGTAAAAAATTGTGTTCAGTTGTCTGTTGCACTGTGAGGTGTCTCCCTTAGGTCAAGATGAGAGCCATAGCAAAATAACACACACCCCTAAAAAAACAGTGCTACACAGGGTTTTTGAGCAATGCCATGGAAGAACCACTTTTGATTACTTAAAGGCCCATGTTTGAAGAAGAGAGCTGTGAGTGTGAAGAACTTTTTAAAGGTTTGAAGAACCTTCACATAATGTAACGGTTCTACACAGTGGTGCACAATCAGAATAATCGATCAATTTCTGCTACAGACATGCAATTAGAAGTTGGCCGTTTATTATTTTTATTTTGGCTGATCTGTGTTGTAATTTTATGACATTCATGTGCACTTGCATGTATTTGACTGCTGCTGCTGCACCTATACCATAGAATATTATACAAACATTATTCACTTTATATTGCCATTCACTCCTATCAAGATAGACCGTATAATCATGTTTCAGATAAAACCAAACGTAGTGTTAAGAGGTTTTCCAAAGGCACTTTTGTTTCTATCTATGTGTGGATTTGAACCTCAGTTGCCAGTTTTTAAAGCTATGGCGTTACTCACTACATTTTGAGCTCACTTGTTCACTTTGAATTTGAATCTACTGGTTTGACTGTTTATTAGGGCTATAAACATTTTCAGCTTAGATCCGCTTTTCAGTTCAGAGGTCAACGTTTCATTAGATTAAAGCAGCACTATGTGAGATTTTTTTGTTAAAATTTAAAGAAGCAGCCATTACTGAGTCAGGAGAAAAAGCGTGCGAAAATATGATGTCTGTCCACTGCTGCAAGTCACCCTGTAAAGCCTAAAATAGTTATTTAAAGTTATTTAAAGTCAGAAAGTCAGAGGAGTCGGGTCAGATTTTGCAGCAGTTTTTCGGACCACCTCATTTGACTTTACATATTAATGTGTCACACAGACAGGCTCAAATAGAAGGCCCAGCTTTGCCTGAGTTCTCTTTTGATACTCTTTCAACACGCTCGCAAATGTCGGTTTTATCTGCTCATGGGGGTCTAAAGTACAACAAACATTACAAAATGTTCTTTTGCACGTTGTGTGCAATTACAAATTTCAGCCAGAGAGGCTCTAAATCCCTAAAACTTACATAGTGTAGCTTTGAGATTTGATTTGTTAAAATGGTTTGATTTTTTCAGAGCTTGGTGCACAAAGAGTGCACAGTTTGGCTTAGAAAAAATACAACATTTATTTTGAAGCAAAAGATTGCAAAGAAGCATGACATTATGCAAAACGGTAAGCTTATGAAACATTAAACTGTGAAACAATACAGAAATAAATACCATGCACCCAGAGGCCTAGTTAGTTTCCATGTAAGACAGCAAATGAGAGACGGCAAAGCAGTTTTAAATTTCAGTGTTTTCATTTAACTGTTTTAAACATTCATTTTTTCAGTAATGCACTGAAACCTACTGATTAGATGAAACTCTTTACTTTCCTGCAAGTAAAACATAAAACCTGTGTATGCACATAAGAGTCTTCTTTGGCCTGTTATTTAGCAAGTGAGTATGTTTCTCTGTTTCAGTCATGGGCGGTGGCCTGTGTGAGCAAGGCTAATGTTGCATGTATTTCAACAGAGCTGTTGGTGGTTGCTTTTTTGGAGAAGCAGGGCTGGTTGTATGCCTCCAGGGGGATGTGAGATCATCTTTGGCCTCCAGCCAGCCCTTTCTCCTCCGACCCCCCTGCTCACCGGTCACATCTGGAACTCTGTATCAACCCAGATACTTCACTAGTGAACAATGAAAGGAGAGAGGGGAAAAAATAAACAAAGGAAAAGAATAGCGATTGTTTCCTACAAACTTTAAGCAGGTAAAAAAGTCAATGGTGCACAGAACGCAAAGTGGGTTAAAAAGATCAAATAAAGGGAATTAAAATGAACCTTTTTGACAAAGTGCTACACAGAGGCCCTTTGTCTAAAGGAATGTATTTGTAATTTTCAGAAGCTCTAACCTTGGCTGACAAGGCCTGTTCTGACTTTCAGAAACAGATAATGCAGTGTTCAGGTTCTTTTTTTCTTTAAATCATGCTTTGTGCAAACATAATAAATGTGATCACCACATAAAAAATCTGGAATTCTTTTTACTTAAACCTGAAAATAAACAACAGAATGTTGTAGAACTTGAAAATAATTAAAACAAGGAAAAGTTTTGACAAGTAAAATAAAGAAAGACTGAAAATTCTGCACTATTTCTAGGTCACCATTCAAATCTAAGCAAATCTATGACATTGACCATGTTAAGACCTTTGTTTAAGGCTCACTCTACAAAACTGGTTCAAAGTCAGAGTTAAAAACACATTTCATACTTTTAATTGACGTGGACTTTCAACAAAAATCGTTTTGCTTTAAATGACACTATGCCTTAACTAGGTTTATTTCATTAAAATAAATGATTAAACATTCCATTTTGTCAATACCAAAACAA